TGGACCGGCGGATGGAGGAGATGCAGCGGCGGCGGCAGTCGAACCGCGACGACCGCATCGCCGCCCAGCTCACCAAACTCAAGGCTGAGAAGCTCCTCATGCGTGAGAACAGGATCCAGCGCCAGCGCGAGGCCCTCGAACGAAGGGAGAAGGACTTTGCAGCCGCGCTCGACAGAGAGGTGACGTGACAAACATGCCGTGCCGGGAGGGGTGAGGTGGTGTACTGTCGGCGTCGTGCTCTGTGTGCATGTGTGTTTGTGTGTGTGTGTTTGTGTCTGTGTCTGTGTGTATGTTTACTTGGTGGTATTACGTCTGCTTGCTTTGTCCAATTCTTGCTTCCGTCTCCTCTCACCCTCACCATGCCTTGCCCTGCATTGCCGCCACCACCGCCACCATGGGCGCTATGCCACCAGGCCGAGTATGCACGCAAGTTGAAGGAGGATCACAGAGAGGAGCTGGAGCGAAAGGCGCAGAACCTCAAGACCCTCAAGGCGAAGAAGGCCGCTGCACAGGTTCGGGCTGCTGCCTCGTTGAGAGTCAGCGGAGAGGAAGAGGTTGCGTGTGGTGTGCATGTGGTGTGGCATCAGCACGTGTGCGTCTGTCACAAGCACGCATACACATGTTTACACACAGCCCCACACGCACACACTCGTAAACGTGAACCCACACTTGCGTACGCACTCACATGTACATTGACACACATTTTCACCCTCTCTACAGCGCGCCCAGACATCCAAGTTCTGCCGGGAGTCTGTGGAGGAGATTGTGTCGCTCGCGCTGAAGAAGATTGAGTATTCGCACCAGTACGGCGGCAAGGATGTGCCGATTGCCACGTGGCTCAACTGGAAACAGCTCTTCATCAAGGGGTTCCCGCTCGACGTGCGTTGGCACATGCTGTGTTGTATATTGTGGTGTGCGTGTGTTGAGTGTGCGTGTGTACATGTTATGTTTGCACTTGTTGTCTTCCTACGTACTCGTTTGCCCTCTGTCCCTGCCTTGAACATCTAACCGCCGTTACCACCGCCACCACCACTCGCCAGGTCGCCGAGGACAGCGATCACCATGCCCACGACCACTTGGACGACTGCGAGCTCTTCCACTACCTCGACCTCGAGGTGCGCACACATGCACACATGCACATGCACACACGCACACGTGCACACATGCACACATGCACACAACCAATCAATCAAACACACACACGCAACCATATGCACTTGCGCCTTCATCTCTCGTGCCCATGAACTCATGCATGTTCCTTGTGTGTATGTTTTGTATTGCAGGGCATTTGGGGAAGCGTTGCCAAGGAAGACGAGAAGGAACTGAAGTCCGAAGGCGACCCGAACGTGCCCAACCCCATCCTGCATCATGTTGTCACGACCCTTGTTGACCGCACATACCCAAACCCGCAGCCATGGGAGCCAGCAGCCGTCCCTCACCACAAGCTCAGGTAGATGTGCATGTGTGCGTGTGTGTGTTTGTCTGTCCCTGTCGCGTTCTCTCTGTCTGCACTGTTTCTGTGTGTGTGTTTGTCTGTCCGTGTCGCGTTCTCTCTGTCTGCACTGTTTCTGTGTGTGTGTGTCTGTGTCTGTGTGTGTGTGTCTGTGTCTGGCGGAGTTGCTGATGGTTCCCATCTCTGCTTCCACATACAGGTGCATTGTGAGCTGCAAACCATCCAAGGAGGTTGAAGACATGCTGCACTCCATTGCAAAGAAGCACAACGCCTCTGTTCTCGACGCACAACAGGTGCGCTTTCAAGCCAATTGTGTGTTTGTTTATTTGTTTGTTTGTTTGTTCGTCCGTGCGTTTGTTTGTTTGTTTGTTTGTTCGTTTTTGGGTCATCTTGTGAGCGTGTGACTTTCATGGCCTGCATGACTGCTCGAATCCCCCACATACATATTCCTGATCGTCGCTTACCTCCCCTGCCTGTGTCCTGTGTGTGTGTGTGTGTGTGTGTGTGTGTGTGTGTGTGTGTGTGTGTGTGTGTGTGTGTGTGTGTGTGTGTGTGTCCTGTGTGTGTCCCACTGTCCCGCAATTTGCCTGTCTGCCTGCATGCCTCTACATGCACTGTATGTGTCCCTGTTTGACTGCCTGAACGACGATAAAGTGCAGTTTAATTGCCCGTCAGCAGAGCTCCCCCCAATCAATAAACGAGATGAAATGATGCACACATACATAGTGTGGCGCTGGATACAGTGCACAGTGGGGAGGAGGAGTGGGGAGATGTGTAATGTAAGGCGCTCCGCTTCGCACGCCAAGAACCACAACCACACACACAACGGCACCAGCCACAATTTATTTTACCCACAGTTCGAGAGTGGGAATTTCAATTTTGCCAACTCCACGACCTGGTTGTTGGTTGCCAAGACGTTGGAGCTGTGGCAGACACAAGCGCCCACAAGCACAAGCACCCACCACATACACACAAGACACGAGTAGTGCTGCTGCTGGCTGGTGTCACGCAAGCGCAGTCGCGAGCCACACACCGCACCGCCGCCAT